CATTGATGTAAATCAAAAAGACCAAAGGTCCTAAGACAGAGCCCTGAGGTAACCCACTTGCGACATTAATCCAGTTTGACCGAACTCCATTTGTAACAACCCTCTGCTTTCTTCCATCCAGCCACTCTTCTATTCAATTTGCTAACTTATCCCCCACACCTATAGAGTTAATTCTTTTTACAAGCCTTTTATGTGGCACCTTGTTAAATGCTTTCTGAAAATCCAGAAACACCAAATCTACACCCTTACCCTCATCTACATATGCAGTAACCTGTTCAAAGAATATTAAAAGATTTGTAAGGCAAGATTTTCCCTTAGTGAAACCATGTTGACTATCCAGTAACGCACTTCATCAACTCAAACTACATGGCAAAACCTCTTAGCTAATGCTTTGAGTTAACATTTTCTTAAATCAAAAATGTATTTCCAATAATACTCACCTCACACTACAGCTATTATTCAACTGCCAGGGTTCTTCCTTTGCCCATCTAAGCATTAATTTGATTTTTTATTCGCTTACTCCAGTTTTTTATACCCCACTTAATTGCCCTTTTCGATACATGTCTCGTGACACTCTCCACCTATGTCAATGCACTCTCTATCCTGGTCCTGCATATAAGCACCTCATTCAGATAATGTTATCACTTTTTTGAGACTGACTCAATTCACAGTCTCTAACACCAACTCTTAGTGGGGAGGAAGGGTGGGAGAGTGGGAGAAGCAGGTAAGTATGATTGGAAATACATTTTCGATTTAGGAAAATGTTAACTTCCAAAACATGTTTACTTCCACTGACACTTATAGCTAATCCCACTATGAGATGGTGGAGGGGCCAGTGAGGGCATTATACATTCAGAAAATATCTGCATAGATCATGGATGTACCAAGAAGATTGGTACCCTAGTGGGGGACCACACTACATCCAGAACAAGTATACTCTTCATACGGAACATAATTCATGTACCGTGGGTGGAATTTTACATGATATATGATCACTATTGGCCAGGCTCCAACCAGTAGCCAAGGATCCACTGCTCAGGGTTGAAATTATAGGGCCATGGTCCCTATTTTCCACATTGGAGGCTAGGGCAATTGGATAACAAGCTATATATATATATACACACACACTTATGAGTGGATCCCAACCTGTAGCCATAGAGTGATGCCTTTCAAGCCACTGGAATCACGATGAGAAGGTAAGCAACACCAAAACAGACAAAGCTTTTCCTCAACCTGAATACGACTGAAAGGCAACACCCAAGGCTCAGATTGAGGGAATCTTGTGTGCCTTACTTAAACTGAGGAAACAGAACACATCCGCTATGGAATTATGAACACTCACCCTCACTCCCCAACCATGTGGGCAAGGAGCAATCCACTTTCCCCCAGAATTATAGAGTGAACATGGAACAAACTGTGCTCAACCAAGGACCCAGGATGGGACCACTCTGCATTTGGAATTACGAGGAGACAATGGACTCTCTTCCATGAAAAATGTATGGAACCAATATTGATCAAAAACAAGGGCCATGCTCTACACAACCAGATAGCCAAGCATCAAATCTGAACCGGCATTATGAGTAGACTACTTCATAGGCTGGTGCCTCTCCTATTGATATCTAGGAAAAAACATCCTGGGACCTTTGTAGAAGGACCCCCAACTTTGCCCTCTTCTCCAACAGTGGAGGAACTCACTCTAAAACACCTGGAGGAAAAGCCTCTGTCCACCACCCCAGTGACTGGATAGTGGGTGTGGTAAGGACTTCCTAGTAGAATCTGGGGGTTAATGTGTGTTGGGGAGTCCTGAGGAACAGTGCAATAGATGAATCAAGTTCCCTAAAGTTTTAAAAGCAAACCGGCCTGAGTTGTTCAATCTGATGATTGGCAGGGACAGACAGAATCCCCTTTAGCTTTACTCATGATAGTCCATGAGTAGTGGTCCAAGATAATATGGTAATACCATCTCGTAAGTGCCAAGATGGTCTTATGGAACACCTCATTTCTACCAGAGCCTGTTGCAACCAGTAGTAAGTATAGTCAAATAAGTTGCTAGTGCAGATAAAAGCACATCTGTCTAGGCAACACTCACCACAGAGTGGGATCCAGTGAGAGCAAGATGTAAGGGACTCTGGATATGAAAAATAAGATTTCTCCCTCCTGCATATAATGTAACAGATGTTGTTAAAACGGATATGGAAGGTAGTGAAAAAGTGTGGTAAGGTCTCCCTAGCTCCACTACTAGAATCTGGGGGTAATGCATGTTTTGGGGAGCCCTGAAGAATAGGTGCAATAGGTGAACCAAGTTCCCTAAATTTTTAAAAGCAAACTGACCCCGATTTATTCAATCCAATTATTGGCAGGGATTGGCAGGATCCACTTAAGCTTTACTCATGATAGTCCATGAGTGGCAGTTCAGCATAGTACAGTAATACCATCCAGTCAGCCTCTAGATGGTCTTATGGAACACCTCATTTCTACAGAACCTGTTGCAACCTAGATAAAATATATTGAATTAGTAAGGAAGCTTTGTCATCTGTGCATAAACCCCAGAATTCCTGACTTTTGGTATCTGCACCCAATCCCTGAAGCAAGGCATCCATGAAGAAATGAAACTTTTGATGACGTGGCAGCAGAGGAACCTACATCTTAGTAGTGTCCCAACTTAACAATGCCTAGATATTAAAGAATGATCCTGACTAAGGAAAAAGAATGATCTTGACTAAGGAAACTGGGGAATCCAGTGAATCGATGTTTATGATTTATTGATCACATAAAGACCATTGAAAGGATACCTCGTGCCCTTGTCCTAAAGGCATGAAGGATTCGAGTGATTCCCACATTCCCAAATAAGAAAGAACCATCTGAGCAATGGGAGAAGAAGAGGTGAGTAAGAGTCGGGCTTCCTGAGAGAAGTGATGAAAAAAAAGCCAGACTGATGACATATTGAATTGGAGCAAGAATCTATGTCTCAGCTCGGAGAATAAAGCCTGTCTTGGTTGTTTTTCAAAGTAGAATCAGGGTGTGATGTTCTGATAATTGACGAGATAGTACCAGCAGTAACCAGTCGTCTATGGAATGGTGTGTGCACAGTGCTATGGAATGGAGGTAATGAGGAAAAACTCGTACGATTTGACAGAACAAATGGGTAGCCGATGCTAGTCTGAAGGTAAAAACCCTGAACTGTAGTACCTGACTTTTTTGCACAAAAAATGCAGATTGTGTTGGGATTCCACTACTATAGCAATGTGCAGATAAGAGCCGACTACAATGAACTTGGACATCCACAATCCCAGTAAAAAATGCCAACTCAGATTGAGGAATGAGTAACTTGTGATCCTTGGAAAATCTAGACATTGATTTGGACGAGAAAGATCGATGACTGGACACCAACCTCCTGTCTTCTTAGGCCCAACAACCGACGGGAATAAAATCCCGGAAGAACTAGCACGACTTTCTCACTACCCCCAGACCAACTAAGCTCTGATAGCCCTAGAACTAAGTTCCAAGTCCCGAGGATCTGCGGGAGATGGAAACCATACAGCTTTGATGGATAATAATGGTGAAGATGTGAACTGAATGACTAATCCTGACTCAAGGAGCTGTCGTGTTCATGGATCCGTGGTTAAGGTTACCATACATCGAGAAATTCTCGGAGCAGAGCTACTACAGACCCGAAGGCATACTATAATCTCTGATGCCACTGGCAGCGATCTGACTGAGCAGCGGAACCCTTGGATATGGACAGAATCTCTTCTGAGTACCAATTTACCAAAGGGCTGATGTCGGGAGTCAGGACCCTCGAATAAGGGCGGAACTATGACCCTCCTGTAGGAGCTGATGAAATTTGAGAAGCCAACGACGACAGGGGTAAATAAAGAAGACGACAATCGAAACAATGTGCATGCTGACAATGGTTCCAGCTCTTCATCAATGAAGTTGATGAACCTGAGAGTCTTCCAACAAAGTTTAGTGTAAGGAAAACAAAACATTGGATTTTAGAATTGTAAGTCTGTAGACTTACCCTGTCCCATCAGAGGACATTGATCTTATCCCAAAGTGGCCTCTTTTTGTTTTTTATTTTATTTAAAGACTGTACTTATCACCATTGATTGGAAGAACATTTAGTGAGGTAAGTTTGTTTTGTTAGAGGAAAGAAACACTGAAGTATATGCTGTGTTCATAATAGGAATCAAACCCTGGACTTCAGCATTGTAAGTCTGTAAACTTACCATTTTCCACAGGAGGACTGAGAAGCCAACAGACTAAAAGAAGACACAGGAAAAAGCGAATATAAATGTCGAAGATTGACCTCAATTGCAGTCTGAGAGCCCCCTGCAGGGACATCATGGAACCGAATATATGTCTCCATCTCACTAAGAAGAAGATCATTGACAGTTTCAACTGAGAGTGACTCCCCCCTCCATGATTGTTGTGCGACACTAGATATCAGAGATGGGATAGGAGAGAACTGATTGGCCAATAATCTGGGTATTTATACAATAAATCGGTTTGCCAATCAGATTTTATTGTTTTTAAGAAAATCAACTAAGTAACAGAGAATGCTCAAAGTATCTCTGAATGATCGTAGAACCGGAAAAACCATTAGTGACACTTTGTCGATAAAAATTGATAACATCTGAATGAGGTGCTTATATACAGCATCAGGATAGAATGCACATTGATGTAGACTAAGAGTGTCAAAAGAAAAATATAGTCACGGGCAATTAAGTGGGATATGAAAGACTGGAGCAAGTGAGTAAAAAACAGACCAATGCTTAGATGGGCAAATGAAGAAACCCTGGCAGTCGTGTAATAGCTGTAATGTGAGAGAAGGTAAGAATGTTTTGGAAGGAAAAACTTGGATAAAAGATAATAAAAAACAAATTGGTAAATCTAAGTGAAAACTTTTTCTAGTTTTATTTTGTGTGACATTTCAGGCAGATGCCCTTTGTCAGACAATAAAGACTGCGCTACTAAGCCTTTGCAAAACTCCTTAGCTAATGCTTTAATGGCACTTCTTGATCAACACAAAATACTTAACAACTACTCTGTTTTTTACAAGTAACTTCAATAGAAAATTGTAATAATCTACTTAAAAAGTCAATGTTTGTATACGTCACCTCGGGATCACTCAGATCAATGTTGGTTTCTACATGAATCCAGGATGTACCACACCCTTCTTTAATTTCACATTCATCATCACATACTGATTCTCTTCTACTAGTAGAAAATGTTTTATCTAAATTTGACTGCTCTCCAACGGGCTTTATTCTTTGCTTTAAATGAGGAATAAGAAATGTCCATTCCTTTTCACTCTGTTCATGAAGAGAATTTAAATGCTGAATTTTGTCTCCTACTGATAAGTCACTGTTATTAATAGCAGCATCTATGTTAGATGACAGTACACTCTTTGGTGTTAATGGGTTTTTGTGTAGATTAAACTTTCTTTTTTCTTTTTCTTTATCTCCAAAATTTCCATTTTCCATCTCCTGTTTGCTATATTGCTGTTTCATGTCCCTTGTTTTATTTCTTTTGCTTGTTCTTTTATCCTGTGATAACTCACAGTGAGATTTCCAGCCAGATCTTCTACTATCTGGACTGCTACCTGTTTGTACATGGCTACTCAAATGTGGTTGTCTGACTTGTCTTAATACTCGGTGTGAAGATTGGGGCTTCTTAAGAGTATATTCTTTTCCTTTAACCAACTGTCTTTTATTAACATCTGGTTTTGAAGAACGACTAGTGAGTTCTTTATAGGTTGGGCTGTTTGCCATAACTGACATCTTAGTTTTATCATACCTATGTAGCTTTTCTTTACCTAGAGAACTTTGGGAATCAGAACTCTTATGCACACCTCTACTTCTGGATTTTCGGTTAGGGACCTTGTAAAGTTTGTTGGAAACATCTTGTGTAAAATTTCCTTTTGAATGTGCACATTTTTGCCATTTCTTTTCCTCCTTTGAAAAGTAATGACTTTTCCTTGCTTCTTGTGTTTTTAAAGCTGACTTTTTTGTGAAACTTTGCTCCTTATCACTTTTTCTTTTATCCTGATGTAATATTAGTTCTTTATGGTAAAAAATTTTAGATTCTTTGTTCTGGGACAGAACTGCTACGAGACCTGATTTTTTTACATTTGTTTTATCTGGTTTATTTCTACTGGTTTTTGGTTTACCTGCCTGTTGTAGAACACTCATAGTACACAAACTTTCTCCCTCTGTGTTTTGATGTTGCCCATCTGACCTTTCAAGATAACATTGTTCTTGTAATAACGATGAAGTCGTTGATTTTCTGTGTTTCCCCAAACACAGAGGTGATTCAGGTTTCAGTAACCATTTTGTAGATTTATTAAAACTTTTTAACACCTGTTGAGAAGTGTGAATTGGTTCACATTTGTGCAGCTTTTTAGAAGAAGCACTAGGTGTTTTAATAGATTGTCCATGATATAATCGAAGAATTTTTATAATATTGTTATCTTGTCTAGAAACATTTATTGGTTCAGATTTTGGTAATTCCTCAAGAGATTCATTAAGATTTTTTAGTTTACTTTTTTGTAATATTGATGAATTTGTTGAAGAATGAATTTCTTGTTTTGAAGTTATCACTGGTTCATATCTTGAGAAACTCTCCACAGGGTGTGAGATCTGTTCTTGTGAAGATAAATAATTTGTTGTAGAAATTTCTTTTTGTCCTGAAGATTCAATTGGTTCAGCTTCTGAAAAACTATGGAGAAACTCACTTAGACCTTTAGTGGATTGTTTCTGTAACAAAGCAGTGGTTCGAAGAGATTCTTTTTTGGGTTCCAAAAAAGAAGAATCTCTTCCAGCCACTGCTTTATTACAAAAACAATCCACTGAAGATCCAGTTGATACTTTAAACAGTTTACCAGAACCTGAATCAGTTATATATTCAGAACCCAAAGAAAAATCTCTTTCAGTCACTGCTTTATTACAGAAACAATCCACTAAAGACTTCATTGGTATTTCAAACAGTTTACCAGGATCTGAATCAGTTATCTCGGGTCCTGAAGAGGTAACTGATTCATATCCTGGTAAACTCTTTAAAGTATCAACTGGATCTTCAGTGGATTGTTCCTGTAATAAAGCACTTGTTGGAAGAGATTCTTCTTTGGGTTCTGAAGAGATAACTGATTCAAATCCTGGTCCACTGTTTCGATTATCAACTAGATCTTTAGTGGATTTTTCCTGTAATAAAGCAGTGGTTGGAAGAGATTCTTCTTTGGGTCCTGAAGAGGTAACTGATTCATATCCTGGTAAACTCTTTAAAGTATCAATGAGATCATTAGTTGGTTGTTCCTGTAATAAAGCAGTGTTTGGAAAAGATTCTTCTTTAGATTCTAAAGAAATAACGGATTCAGAGTCTAAAAAGATAATTGATTCAGATCTCGGTTCATTGTTTTGATTATCAACTGGAACTCTGATGGATTGTTCCTGTAAAAGAGGTAAAGGTTGCAATGATTCATCTTTCTGTTCTGATTCAACTTCTGGAAAATCATTTGAAGCTTTAATCAACTGATTTTCTAAGACTTCCATAAAAAAAACATCTTCTTGTTGCAAGCTCTTTGATTTAGATTCTAATAAACACAATGAAGAATCATGTACATCATTGGCAAACTGTTCCTGCAACAACAAGAAGTTTGTTGGAGAGTTATACACCACTTCTGAAGGATTCAATGATTCATCTTCAAGTACATTTTTTATAGAATCATTAAATGTTTTAATGGGTTGTTCTGATAATGACAGATTTGTTAAAGTTTTATCCTTCTGTACTGAATAGGATTCAACTTCAAGTACATTTTTTGAGGAATAATCAAGTTTTTTATTAGCTTTTTCTTGTGACAATGATATATTCGATATAGATTTGCTCATTTGACATGAGTAATAGATTGGCTCAGCTTCTAGTAAGCTTGTTAAACAATTCTTTGAATCTTCCGTGGGCTGTTTCTTTAATGGCAGATTTGAAGGATATTTTTTCACCAGTTCTGAGTTCACTGATTCAGATTCTAGTAAACTTCTTGAATTTGAATCTTTCCTGGACTGTTCCTGTAATGGTAGATTAGATGAAGATTTGTCTTCCAATTCTGTATTAACTGGTTCCAGTTTTGCCATGCTCTTTGGTGAATCATTCAAACTTTTAGGGGAGTCCGATGGACAAAGTCGATAAAAGTCTCGATTGAATTCTGTTGTGTCAACTTGCAGTGTTTGGTGTGTGTTTCCCTTATTTGAAGCACTTTTATCATTTTCAAAAATATTATCTTCAGGCTCTCTTGATTTCTTGGTAACAATATCTTCTTGGTTCTGAAGACTATCAGAAGAGTAAACAACAGACAGGGCAGAAACTGCAGTATTTGGATACAACTCTAAGGAATGTTCTTCATCTTTCTGTTTGTTAAACAATGCTCTAGACTTTAGATCTGTACCACTTTTAATATTATTATTACAAAGTGAACCACTTATATCATTAGAACTTTCTTTATTTTTCCAATTTTGAGATATTTCAGAATTGTTGTCTTGTTTTGGCTCATCTAACGAGTTAGTGATTGTTTGCTGGACAACACCACTTGTCCAAAGAGCTTGGTTACACAACTCCTCCTGATAATCCTCTACTGTCATTCTCTCCTCTTGAATTTTCCCTATGTGATGACTGCATGGTTGGTGGACAACAGGAGCGGGATCCCATCTATCACAGAAACTTTTGGTGGGTTGATTAACATCCTCCAATGACAGCTGAAAAGTCCAGTTGCCAATTTCTTCTTCATCATATACATCCTAAGAGAATAAATGTCGTATTAACCATAACATTGTGAATATCATAAAGTTCATGAGTTTTGGATGAAGCATGATAATCTGGAAAGTTTGTTTCAGTTAAGAAAAGACATAGGTTCAACAGGTTTGCAGAAAATACACAAGTTCAACAGTTTTACATAAAAGACATAGGTTCAACAGTTTCACTTAATATTAGTTCTTTGAAAATATCTCTTAGAGACTTAAGCCAAAAATAAGAAATTTCTTATCACAATTACCTAATACTGCTCACGTTTATCAACAATATTCTTAACCCTAAAATTACAAACTTGTTCTTCTACCATTCACCACCAGTGGGACCTACACATTGTATCATATTCAGTAGTCTAAGTTTTTATCTGTTACAATGTTCAGTGTAAAAAAACTGACATAAAAGAGAGAGAAATCACTCAAATCCTATATAAGATACACCAAGACCCCCAGCAGTAATTAGTTGAATATACTGATGACATTTTTGTTTAAATTTTTGTGTGCAATTCATTTCTTGTTGGAACCTATAACCAACAAAATCATGGGATTAAAAGTAATTCTGTGCATAAATAGTTTAGAAAAATAGTAATTGTAAGATTACATTTTTAAAAACAAACATTCAATGCACACAAACCTAGGTTAATGCTTTGTTTGTTTTTTATGGACAGTCAAATATTCAATGTAAACAAATAAATTCCTTGAATTTAAAACTTTGCTTACTTTAAATAACTTTTCCTTTATGACCTTAATCCTAACTAATTTGGAGTCAGCTGGAAATTTGGTAAGTCAAAAAGTTTTACACCCGAGTGGCTAGCCCAGTCGACAATCACTTAGGACCAGCATGTTCAGTGTTGGGGAGTCAAACTTGCAACCCTCAGGTTGAAAGCTCTAACCACCAGGCCCTTAAATAAGATAATGACCTATACATTTATGTATGTTTATTTCATGAATATTTCTCTTGTTACGATTTCACCAAAAGCTGTTGATAACATACAAGTTCACTAATCAAGTTGAAATAATTTGTAAAATGCTCAATGTAAACAAACATATTCCTCAAGTCCTTTGTTTAGTTTGTTCAGATATTGAACTACTCAATGTAAACAAACATTCCTCAAATTTATAACCGTTTAGTTTGTTCAGACATTGAACTACTCATCAGAAACATAAAAATATACTGAGTTGCAATTCATACCTAAAAATCAATAAATATAGAAGCTTTTTCATCTCAAAAACAATCCAAGAAAAATACCTGGAGAGTGTTTTGTAGTTGGGAGCTATCCTGCTGAAGCCACTGCTGCATCAAACCATAAACATCTTCGTGTTCACCAGTTAAGTTACAATCCAAGTGAAATGTTAGAATAAGAATTACTTGTAATACACAAGGCAGTTTTATTCAGCTTACTTAATCATAAGTTTGAAAAGAAAAAATCAAAGGTCTGAAGCAGTTACAATTCTATGAAAAATAAAATGTAAGAAATTGGTATTTTCACTATGAATGTATGGGCTAAATCAGAAGGTCAATCACCTATAGGATTCAGGTATAGCCACATCTAATTTCGAACTACTGACCAAAGGAAAAGTAACCAGCCAGTAGCACCTGCTTCTGCTATCGCTTGGAAGCAAATAATGGAATGAATTGGCACATTTATAATACACTCACAACTGTAAATGCAGTATGTCTTCCGTGGCATTACCTCTTGAATTCTGAACCCTTTGATCTGCAGTTTAACATGTTATAGCCACTAGACCATGGCTGCACTATGTTTTTAAAGGTAGCACTAGGCTGGCATGTTGAAACTGATTGCTTTATGTGTACTCGGACACAATACTTGTATACATATTTAGAGAATTGCTCAGACATAACATGTATATATAGATTTCGTAAATTGTTAATGTGTACTCGAACACAACACGTGTACATAGATTTAAAGAATTGCTCATGTGTACTCTGACACAACACAAGTATATAGATTTAGAAAATTGTTTACAAGTTGCACCTTGCAAAGAAAGACAGCCAAACCAGACTTTTTCACTAGGTATGGCCTTAATCTAGTCTAACTTTCAACAAATTTTCTGACAACAAAGTCTTGCATGCATTTCTTCCAAAGATTGCTCTTATCAGCTTAGTCCAACTTTCAACAAATGTTCTGACAATAGGGTAAAATCTTGCACACATCTTCCACAGATTGCAGTTATTGGTATAATCAGCTTTTTACATTTAAAACTCAGAAGCTTAAAATTATTTTGACTAATACGAGAAATATTACTTACTGATTTATTAAAAATATATAAGGTATGTAAAAACATATGAATAGAACTGATATAAAACAGAGTGGTCCAAAATTATATTTCCATTTTTAAAATTTACTCATTAAATAACTAAAGAGATATGATTATTCAGTTTTCAACATCTTGTAGATTAACCCAAACAGTTTTTATTGACAGGATATGTGCACCATTAGTGTCTCTCAGCATGTCTAACCAATATTAAATTAAATTCCACATTTGCTGCAACATGCCCACAATTACAGTGGTGATGGCATCTGTTAACTCCGTGATGTTTGCTATAGGTGTGAACTAAATGATGTCTTTAATGTAACCCCAAAAAGACCTAAAATGAATAGGCCAAGTTTGGTCCACATGGGCAGAAAACATTCAGGGGATGCACCTTGGGTTATGACATATTGTGCCAAATGTGGTCCAACGACAAAAACAAGATATGCAGTTTGCCCGGGCAAAAAACATCCAGAGGAATCACCTTGGATTGATTTCAAGATAGACAAGTGTGGTCACAGCCCAGGCAAAATATCCGAGGAAGTACCCTGTTATATGTTAGAGTATGTCAAGTGTGATCCAACTGGGCAGAAAACATCCAATGGAAGTGCCTTCCACAGTATTTTTCTGTTTCATATTTTTTACATAAAAGATGTTGAGATCAACAAGTGTGGTCTGCCCTGGCAAAAAACATCTGGGGTAGCACCTTGTGATATAAAATGACAAGTGCTGTCTATCCTGGCAGAAAACATCCAGTGAAAGCACCTTGCATATGATTGTGAGTTTCATATCTTGTACAAAACGTATTGAGAGATCATCATGTGTGGTCTGCTTAGGCACAAACATCTAGAGGAAGCGCATTGTATCAATATTGAGTATGAAAAGCAAGGTCCAAACAGGTAGAAAACACCCAGTGCCTTGCCTAAAAAAAGTATTGTGAACAAGTGTGGTCAGTCCAATCAAGAACATTTGGGTGAAGCACCTTGTATTAATAATATAATAATAATAGTATATAATATGAACCTTAAAAACGATAGCCCTCATCTCACAAAGTGAGTACATATGACTATGAGATTGTTTTATCATACAAATCTCACTCATGAGGAAACCTCCATGGTTCACCACTCCAGCGACTGGGAACCAGAAGTGGCAAGGACCCCCATGCTCGACTAGAAGAAAGAGGGTGGAATACGTGTTTGGGGGTCTGGAGGCACGACCCACCAAAGACAGTGCAATGGGTGTCTACGTTTCCCTATTTTGAAATGCAGAAAGACCTGAATTATAAGAATCACGGGTCAGTAGGGATGGGCAAAATTCCCTATCTGCTTTACTCCTGAAGTCAATGAGTGACATTCCTCACTATATATATATATATTGACAAGCAGCCAGTGGTCTTACAGAAACACCCTATCTCCATTGTGAGCATTATAGAAATATATACATATAGTGATAAGATCCTGAAATATGATGTATATGAATGAAATAAGAGAAAAAATAATATGATGACTTAGGCCAGTCATAGGCAAACAGACTTGTGTAGAATCCACAAAGAAGGAAGATGATACCTGTCCAAGGAAGACTCAGCTTTGTTGTGCAGAGAAAGAATGATGAACATATTGTAAGTTATCCACATACCAGCCTAAATGATCTCCTCCAAAAGATAGCAGTTGAGTAGCTAAAAACTTAGTTAGGTGACAAATTGGGTGTGAAGAAACAATACGTAGATGGCAACTTGCCAGGGTCATGTCAAAATATGCCAGCTGTATGAGCTGATGAACCCAACCCGTAAGTGTAATGGGTGAAATATCACAGGAAACAGAGGAATGCCATGGAACAATAGACAGGAACAAGAACAAAAGGAGGCAGTATGAGCCAAATAACATAGCAGGAAATGAACTGGATAAAGTAGATGATCCGGAGCTGAATACAGGTTGAAAAAGGAAGGTAAGGAAATATGATAAAAGGCAAAACAATCCCGATAATGAATAACATACGAGGAATGGTAAAGGATGGCATAAATATCAGAATGACAATGACTGCATGCTAGGAGGGAGAGGATTAAGAGAAAAATGGTAAAAGGAACAAATTGCAATGGGTTCAAATGGAGAATCAGACAGGGCATAAAGAACAACACTAAGACTCAATCATGCAGAACAAAGGAACTTGGCAGATGGACCAGATGAAAGAAACGGAAAAATCCGGGGAAGATAAATCTTTCTAGAAGTGGGAGAATGGAGGGTGTTCAACAGGACAGCTTTATAAAGAGCAACAGGTAGAACTGGGACAGGTGAGAAACAGAAGTACAGGAGGGTCAGAAGCCATGGGAAATAAACCAAAGACAGAAGCAAAACCTATGACTCCAGTACATAGTTGAAGAGGGAAAACGTGACACAAAGGGTGAGTCCCTGAGATGAGGCATGAGACCAGACAAAAGCCACACAGAAAAATGGAATGCGGTGATGTTGGGATGAAAAACATCAGATTGCAGCTGATGGAGGAGCAAACAGGACAGAGAAAAGGACAGGGTCTGTTACTCCAGTAAGGGCCAAAGCAGAGGGAACTATGTCTGAGTTGGCTAATCTGAAGCAACCAACAGAACACAACAAGGAGTGGTGTGGATAAGGGAAAAAGACTCAGAAGATGAGTCAGATCAGAGGGTAGGAATATAGATGAAGATCCCTCCAATCTTGACTGAAAGCATCCACCCCAGAGATGAGAGG